AATGAATTAGAATTAGAAATGAATTAGATTTGAGCGTGCCGATAAGAAACGGATAAGAAACTTTCGCTACGTGACATTTGTTGATTGATGGTTGAGCTAAAAATCGTGTTCTGAGTCAATACTTTGATTAAAATCCCACTCTTAATCGTAGACATCAGCCCAAACATATTCCTGTCCATCGTCAGTAATCAAAATCGTCTTTTTTCGCGTTTCCTCGATCGACTCTGGCATTGTTTTGACAGCTAAATCGTGTTAATATTTTAGATAGCTCAAAGCATATGCATACAAAAGTTTCTGATGAGATTTTTGATGAAAAAAACGTACCGTAAATACTGTAATAGTACCCCACCCCCATAATGACGGTGCGGAGCGTTGCGTAGTCTAGCTTTGAACGAGTTTTTCTCGACACTGGTTTATGCTACAATGCTCGTTTAAATATCAAAAAATAGCTGAAATTCAGGGCTATTTTTTGATACCAAAGACGCATTTTTTGAAAGTACGGGTGCTTTGAAAAAAATTAAATACTAAAAAACGACTACGCGACTGTACGAGGGGGGTGGGGTACTATTACAGTATTTACGGTATCAGATGCACCAATCCCTTTCCTAAAACATGCCCTTTTTTCCCAGAAACTACCCTAATCTCTATTTTCATCGGTTGTCTCTATTTTCATCGATTATCGGACATTTGATATGCGCCCCACGCCTATTGCCATTGGCAATCCAACCCTGAGCAACCCAACTTTGTGCAATCCAACTTCGAGCGTCGGGCTGTTCAATTTAAATCTTCTTGATATCATTGGATGCACCAAGTCTTTCTCTATCGATTGGCACAAAAACTATTCAAATTGGACAGTCCAATTCCAAGATATTTAAGCTCAAAGTTGGATGGCAAAGTTGGATGGCAAAGTTGAATTAGGTTCCGATTGGGTTCCGATTAGGTTCCGGTTAGGTTCCGAATAGACTCATTTAAAGTTTCAATTAGGTCCCAATTAGGTTCTATATGGTTGATGGATGGGACATTCTAGATGGTCGATGGATGGGACATTCTAGATGGTCGATGGATGGGACATTCTAGATGGTCGATGGATGGGACATTCTAGATGGTCGATGGATGGGACATTCTAGATGGTCGATGGGAACATTCTATGCAAACCCTTTCGGCTTCAAACAACATCTTTTATCATATTCAGCTCGCACACTCGTTTGTTCCATGTGCATTCCTTGTAAGCAAAGAGGCGCATCGATATGCCGATGTTTTTAAAGTACTACAGCAAGAAGGTGTCCCAGCACCAATAAAAGATAAAACGGGTATGGCTTTTATTTTATAATAAAAGCCATACCCGTTTTATCTTTTATCTTATAATTTAGCAATACTAATTTAGACATGGAGATTGCAATTGCTAATGGCTTCTATAGTGTTTTCGACATACAAATCTGCCTGGCAAAGTTAGATTGTCAATGGCAAAGGGGCAATCAAATGGCAATCAAATGGCAATCAAATGTCCGACAATCACTTTTATCGAATCTATCGACTTTTTTTTGATTCTGTGAGGATTCACAAAGGATTTTGAAACGAAACAAAAAGTGGGTGATTCGATAAAAATATATGTCGTAGCCGTTTACGAAATTCAGCCGCTAACGAATAAGGGTATTTCCGGGCATCCAATCAAAAAGTCACCCAAATAAAAAATGTTCATAATACATATATTTTATAATAAATTTTTGAAATTAACTCATTTGGTTCAGGAGAAAATTTTTTTTGAGCCCCCAAAGTTTAGCTTCAAAAATGGCTATAAAAAATTTTCTACTTAGCCAAAAAACTTGCCTAATAGCTCATTTTGTAGCCAAATTGATGTAGATTCTTAAAGTAAAGCTACATTGAACATTTGTTTTTCAAAGCTAGGAGAACGAGGGCGAGGAACGACTTCAGTTCAACTCGGTCGCTGTTTTCACATTTGAGAATTGCCCTGAATTTGTTCCTCGCCCTCTTTCTCCTACTTTCAACAAAAAAATTGTTTTAGATGGCTTTCCTTTAAGAAACTACATCAAATTGGCTACAAAATGAGCTATTAGGCAAGTTTTTTGGTTGAGTAGAAAATTTTTTATAGCCATTTTAGGGCATTTTTGAACCTAAACTTTGGGGGCTCAAAAAAAATTTTCTCCTGAACCAAATGAGCTAATTTCAAAAATTTATTATAAAATATATGTATTATGAACATTTTTTATTTGGGTGACTTTTTGATTGGATGCCCGGAAATACCCTCATTCGTTAGCGGCTAGTCTTAGTCGGCTGAATTTCGTAAACGGCTACGACATATAGATATTAGTTTTGGGGAAAATGGAGAGGTTTAGAAAACGAATTAGAGACCAACTTCGGACTTCCATCAGCAAAAAAAGAAACTTTGCAAAACTATACGAATCAAATGTCTTTTTGGCGACATAGCAATTGAAAGCCCGCTTGAAACCTTGACACAACAAAATTTTACGATCACCGAATGCAACGAATGAGTGACCAGGTGACCGAGTGACCGATCGGAGAGGGGAAATTGTTAGATAAGGTCTAGAAAATAGTTTCAAAATAGTACTTTCGAGTAAAAACGAGGCTGTAGAGAAGTAGTAGTAACGTAGAGAATTCAGTGCACTAGAAGGGGTGCCTGGATGCCACTGTAGATGAAATTTGGCTTTTCGAGCTTTTTCTGCAAAACCAAACTTTGAGCGGTTTCGAACCCGTGGGCCGGCACCGCTCACCTCGTAGCCAAGCACACTATCCACTGCGCCATGAAAAAAAGTCTAGATCATGAAGTTTTAAATATATAGAATTCAAGCATGACATCCAGGATTACTGTATTTGAGGTCAGATTTCGATTTTGTTTAATCAATAAGACAGAATTGCTATGAACAGGAAAAAAGGGGTAGATTTGACTTAAATCTAAATCTAAATATCTAGATCTAAAGCATGACATCCAGGTCAACTGTATTCGAGATCAGAATTCTATTTTGCTTAATCAATAAGACAGAATTGCCGTGAACAGGAAAAAAAGGTAGATTTCACTTAAATCTAGATCTAAATATCTAGAGCTAAAGCATGACATCCAGATCAACTGTATTCAAAATCAGAATTCAATTTTGCTTAATCAATGAGTCAGAATTGCTGTGAACAGGACAAAAAGATAGATTTCACTTGAAAAAGAGGAATCTTGTGCACCGGAAAGTGTGTGTTTACAAGATTTTCGCACAAAATTCACGAAAAAGACCATAGAAATCGAGTCTACTGCGAGATTTTCGAAAAAAGTGACCGATTTGGGGAGCTAAAGTACTCAAAACTGTCATGAAAATCGCGAAAAAAACGCCTTTGACGACAGATTCTTATCTTTTTTGGGAAAAAGAATTTCCCTACTGACACATTTTTTTTGTGGATTTGAGACTGAAAGAACTTTTCTGAGACGATCCATTTTCAATTTTCTTACCAAAAAATGCAACTTTCGCTGAAAAATGCTGAAAAATCGGGTAAAATCGAAAAATCGACGAAACGGAAGCTTTTTTGCGCGAATAAATTTGGTAAAATGTTGAAATTTTAAATTTTTTTGGAAAAATAAGTGTCATTCAAAATTTTATGGCCAATTTTATGAGAATTTTGTGATAAAGACACAAAAAATGAACTTTTCATTGTTTTGAGTGGCGAAAACTGACTTCAAACTGCTTCCTTTCGAGAATTTCTGCTTTCTGGATGTCACTGTAGATGAAATTTAGATTTTTGAGCCTTTTCTGAACAAAATTTTGACATAGGGGTCGAACCCGCGGGGTGGCCGGCATCGCTCGCCTCGTAGCCAAGCGCACTATCCACTGAGCCATGAGAAAAAGTTGAGATAGTAAAGCTTTAAATATATAGAATTCAAGCATGACATCCAGGATTACGGTATTTGAGGTCGGATTTCGATTTTGTTTAATCAATAAGACAGAATTGCTGTGAACAGGAAAAAAAGGTAGGCTTGGCTTAAATCTAGATCTAAATATCTAGAGCTAAAGCATGACATCCAGATCAACTGTATTCAAAATCAGAATTCAATTTTGCTTAATCAATGAGTCAGAATTGCTGTGAACAGGAAAAAGGATGGATTTCACTTGAAAAAGACGAATCGGAGGGGAAATCGTTAGATAAGGTCTATAAAATAGTTTCAAAATAGCACTTTTAAGTAAAAACGAGTGGCTATTACGAAAAAAGCAAAGAATTGTTGTTCCAATGTTTCGAGCAGGGTTCGAACCCGCGGGTGGCCGGCGTCGCTCGTTTCGCAGCCAAGCGCACTATCCACTGCGCCATGAGAAAGAGTTGAGATAATAAAGTTTTAAATATCTAGATCTAAAGAATGACATCCAGATCAACTGAATTCGAGATTAGATTTCGATTTTGCTTAATCAATTGGTCAGAATTGCTGTGAACAGGAAAAAGAGGTAGATTTGACTTAAATCTAGAGCTAAATATCTAGATCTAAAGCATGACATCCAGATCAACTGGATTCGAGATCAGATTTCGATTTTGCTCAATCAGTGAGTCAGAATTGCTGTGAACAGGAAAATGGATGTATTTCACTTGAAAAGACGCCATTGGAAAGACGATCAAATCCGGGAAATCGCTTCCTCACGAGTTAATCAGTGCAAACGCTCGTTTATATCCGAATAACCTAATATTCTCAATATTTGTTCATATCTATTTTATTTTTGAGTTTCTCAAAATATTTACGCAATGATAGTACAAATGATAGCTTATTTTTGTAAATTTGAATTGAAAATGGACAAAATTTGAATTGAAAATGGCATTCAAAAAGTGATCTCGTTTTGACCAAACAAGCTTTTAATAATGGAAGCCAGGGGTGTTTGATGTTTTGAAAAACTATATAAAAGTAGCACTAGACAACAAATTTACAAAAATAAGCTATTATAATATTTTCTCTCAAAATGCTTTTCCCTATTCTCACTTTGATCTGTTTATGTTTAACGAAAATGGCAGTTTTGGCAGCACCAGTAAATGGTGAGTAGACAAATGTTTTTTCGTTTTTTGTTTTCGTTCGTTTTCGTTCGTTTTTCTTTACCAAATTTGTTGCGGCTTAAACTATTAAAAAGGCCTTTCATTTCGCTAGAAAATGGCTGTTGAGCTGGTGAGTTGTTGAGCTGGTGAGTTGTTGAGCTGGTGAGTTGTTGAGCTGCTGAGCTGTTGAGCTGTTGAGGAGCTGTTGAGCTGTTGAGGAGCTATTGAGCTGTTGAGGAGCTATTGAGCTGTTGAGGAGCTATTGAGCTGTTGAGGAGCTATTGAGCTGTTGAGGAGCTATTGAGCTGTTGAGGAGCTGTTGAGCTGTTGAGGAGCTGTTGAGCTGTTGAGGAGCTGTTGAGCTGTTGAGGAGCTATTGAGTTGCTAAGCTAAATTCAACAAAAATCAAAATAACAGTAAAATTAAACATACTCGTTGAAGAATCAAGCCAAACAGCCATTTCGTCGAAGGCAAATATGCGCTTAAAAGGGCTCCCTTCGATTTTCCAGGAAATGGTTGACAAGAAATTTCTCAAATTCGCTAGGAAGCTTTTGACATGTTGTGGTTTTGACTTTTGACAGTTTTGACTCTCAATGATAATTGGTGCCGCTTTAGAAACGATTCCATCCAACCCATTTCATCCCATTCCATCTTTTGACGGGGAATCTCTGCATCAACAAATCGATTAGCCGAAGCCGTAGAAATCAATGGTTTCTTTGCCTCTCTTTGCCATCCGAGCTTCTTCCAAATAGGGCAGCTGATTTAAACGTCGTTGCACAGTACGAGGACTGATAGAATTTCAAAGCATTGCCGGTAATTCTTCATAGATTTCAGCAGCGGTTAGCTTCTCAAATGTCTGTTCCCTAGTTTGCTTCTTTGTCCAATTCTTCGTGCAATTCCTGATTCAATTCACGTTAATGTTCTTGCCCTTAGAAGAATCTTTAAAGAATCCGTTTAGTTCGTGCTCACGTCGATCACAAAATGCTTTAAAGTCATTTCAGCTTTCGTGATCGCTCATTGAACCTAAAAATATAAAATTATTAAAGAAAACGCAGTAGAAATGCTAGAAAAGTAGTAAAAAGGTGAAGAATTGAATGAAAATGTTGTAGTTGCAAGCTAAAAAGCAAAAAAATCTTACAAACAGAACCCAAAAAATGCAATTTTACCATCTATGATTCTCAGTTATAACCAAGACTTTTCAGGCAGCCCAATCCCGGTGACCCCATTGCCTCCACTTGTCACCAATGAAAACCGCATCAATCACCCTCCAACAGTCACTCTTCCCATTCATTTATGTCCGATGTTTATGTGTCCGATGATTCTTCCCGAATCTCGATTTTCTGAAGATTCTCATCCCATCCGTCCATGTCATTGTCCTCAATTTCCGATAGATCATCCACCAATGATTTTCTAAACCTAACAACCACACGCAGAAGTAAATTTATATCAAAATAGAAATCGATTATATCTCATGAAAGTATAAAAACTGCATTTTCAATAGAATTTTCGTTGTTTTAAGAGGTTTTTGTGATATTTGATGTCAAAAATCGTTTTTTTTAAATCTTCCCAAGGTTTTTTTTACCGTATCTGAATCAATACATACAAATTGAACAGTTATTTCTATAAAAAAAGCACAGACAGAAGACAGACTCTTTTCCATGATTTACTGAGGCTTTAATCAAGAAAATCTTTAGAATAATGTGTCTGTGCCTAAGCATAGAGGCTGAGCCTGAATCGGAGCCTGAGCCTGAGCCTAAGCACTAGGCTGTTTCGGCACAGACACATTATTCTAGGCTGCCGAAGCACTAGGCTGCTTTGGCTTTGGCTTAGGCTCAGGCCTAGGCTCAGGCTTAGGCTTAGGGATAGGCTTAGGCTTGGGCTCAAGCTTAGGCTTAGACTTAGGCTCAGGCTCTGGCTTAGGCTTAGGCTTAGACTCAGGCTCAGGCTTTGGCTTTGGCTTTGGCTTTGGCTTAGGCTGTTTAGGCACAGATACATTATTAGAAAGATTTTCTTGATTAAGGCCTCAGTAAATCATGGAAAAGAGGTCTCTTTATACATCACTTTGCAAAAAAACAAAACTCTTTCAATAACACTTCATGTAAAAACTTTCTTTTTGTTCCAAAACTTCTCAAAGCCTTCTTTCATCGTTCGACGATACTTTTCTCGTTGTTTATCACTTGCATCCTCGTTCGAGCCTGAAAAAAAAGATTTGAATTACAATTACAATACAATTTTCAATTACGATAGAGATAAACTATCTATTTTAAAACAAAATTCATTCCAAACTTAATGGGTGAAGGAGAATGTAATGGCGTCGAACTTTAAAGAGACTTTTTGTCAAGCATTCTTTAAATACACGTCTTTTTTCGTTCTTGCTTGTTGCTCTATTATGTGCCCTATTATCAAAAGGTTAACTATCTTTCTACAAAATGCCTTTTGAAAGATTCTACAAAGCCTTTCTTTCGCGAGTTTATGGACTCCCAAGTCCCAAAGTTTTTGAGCAACAACAAAATTTATTCGTAAAAAATAAACTGGAGACAATAATCAACAATATATTCCCCACAGCTATCAATAACCTATTTCCATCTTTGACACGCAAATTATGGATTCCCTCTTGAAAGAATTGTGCTGGTTTTGATTGAAAGAAAGCAGAGATCCATTTTTTGATGTCGTCAATGTTCTGGAACTTGCGGCCTTCGAGTGAATGCTGCAAACTTCGAAATAAATGGTAGTCAGATGGAGCAATATCTGGACTATAAGGCGGATGAACTAGAAGTTCCCAGCCCAATTGCCAAATTTTCTCTTGCGTAATTTTGGCAACGTGAGGACGAGCATTGTCGTGTAACAATCGCACTGTTGTCGGATCAATTCCTTTTGAGCGAAGAACCGCGTTCGCGCGATCTAGTTGTTGAACGTAAAGATTTGCATCAACAGTCTGACCAGAAATTAACACTTCAAAATGAACCAGGCCTCGGGTATTCCACCAAACCGACATCATAACTTTCTTTCCGTGAAAATCCGGTTTAGGTATTGGCTTTGGAATTTCACCCGGGTCGAGCCATTGTCTTTTCCTTGTAATATTATCATAATGAATCCATTTCTCATCAGCAGTTAAAATTGAATCCGAAAAGCCACTATTTTTGGAGATTCGAAGCAAATTTCCTGAACAAAGAACTCTGATTGCTTTGTTTGCATCGCTTAGTGAATGTGGAATCCATTTTCCAGCTTTATTGATCTTGATCATGCAAATGGTTTTCGATTGTTTTATGATCACAATTAAAATATTCACGTGTAGCCTTTGTCGGATCACTTTCGATTATCTGCTTCAAATCGTCGTTTGCGCTGTCGACATCGACAATCGACAGCCTGCGAGCGGTGTCCTCGTTCCAGATCTTCCAGACTTCGTCACCAGCTCGAAATCTTTTGAACCGGTTTTGACATTGACGAACAGTGATAACATCTTTCCCAAATACGTTACAAAGTGATTCATGCGATTCCGTTGATGTTTTCCTTGTTTGAAATCGTACAGCAAACAGATGCGAAGTCGATATTCGAGGTCGTCTAGCAAAAAAAAATCTAAAAGATTTTTTTATTAAAATTCTTCAACTGGGAATAAAGAAAAGACGCGTAATAAAGCACAATAATTATATCTTTAAAGCAGAAGAGATTGCGGTGGTAATAGTATCCACAGTGTTAAAATCCATAAAGAGAAAAGCAAACGAAATTTCAATGTCGCCAACCTAATATAATGTAATATAAGTGGAAGAAGAAGATCCCTGACATGAAAAATCTTGACACTCCGAAGAAGCTCCAAATCGCTAAGGCCCGGGAAAATGGGATGCGGGAGGAGGACCTGGCCAACCTCTTTAATTGCTCGATATGGACAGTGCGCCGCATTTTTTCTCAATCAAAAGTCGGCAAAAACCTTCATTAAGGCCTCAAGAGTGGCCGACGACCAATCACAACCATAAAAGAAGATCGAGCCCTGATCCAAATGGTGAAAAACAATCCGAACAAAACATCAACCGATGGAAGCCAAACGATGAGGGATCAATTTAACAAGATCGTATCGCCGGAAACGATCAGACGACGATTAAATCAAGCTGAATTACATGCAAGAAGGGCTGCCCGTAAACCCCTGATGAATTCTAAGCACCGGAAGCAGCGCTTTGATTTTGCACGGACCTACCGAAGTTGCACAATAAGTGATTGGGCGAAAGTGCTATTTAGCGATGAGACAAAAATCAATTTATTTCACGCTGACGGAAACCATCTTATTCGGCTGCCGACTGGAAAGCGATCAACACTCAAGTACATTCGGCCTACGGTGAAATTCAATGGAGACAACATAATGTGTTGGGGTAAGAGCATTTTTAGTATTTTGTCACCTGAATGTTTTTCTTTAGCTGCGATGTCACGAACTTCAGTAGGTTCATTAGTTCACCATATTACAAGAAGAAGTGGGCCTTTGTACTTGCAAGAAGTAGGCCTTTGTATATATATATATATAATATATAATATAAGGCACAAGGTGTCACAAGAGTCTGCCAAGAGTTTTATAAATCCCTTTGATTATCGGCGCCATTTCATTCTCCAAATCCAATATTTTTTTGAAAAAGAATAACTCACCTTTTCCAGAACCGGTCAGGTATTGAAACATCACCTTCAGAAATTTCTGCATTTCAAATAGGCTAATGTACACTAAACCAAGATATTCTAAAAGACAAAGATCCGAGATCGTCTCGAATCGGAAATCTTTGTTCCAGAAAGCGTTGGGCTGTGGTTCTTGGAGGGCAACGAGGAGCCCCGTTCTCTCAGCTGGTTCGCCTTGTTTCTCCTCGGTGTGACAAATGAAACGCTTGTTTCCCGTTTGTTTCCCGTTTCCCGGCCAACTTTTCTCTTTCATCAAAATGAAATGAAAACCAAATGATGGATCTTTTTTTTCTTCGATTTCGTGAATGATTTTCTCCAGAAGATAAAAATGGGTTACTTGGTGGAGTTTCACGTCGTACCAATCATTCAATAAACGAAAAGCTCTTTCAAAAAGTAAATGAGTTTCAAGGAATTGCAAATGGTTTTGATGAAGACAAGTGGAATATTCTATTTGCAGATCTTCCGGCTTTAAGAATCGTTCAGAAACCACAGGGAAAACCCTGGTTTCGCATGGTTTTTCACAAGAACAAGAAGAACGAACAATAGATTCCGGAATCGAGTCCAACAAATAGATGTAGCCCTTAAACTTCGTCTCTTCTGCTTCAAAAGTTCGTTCAACTAGTTCTTTTGCGGATGTTGGTAGAAGTCCGACAAAATCATTCGGCAAGCATGAAATCGGTCCCAGCCGATTCAGTCGCAACATGTTATATCGATGGAAGAAAAGATCTAACTCTTTGCTTACATCTTCCCGGCTTTTCTTTTCATAACCAGCATATTCTTCAACCAATCCAATTCTTTTAAGCAAGGCTCTTCGGATCAACTCCAAATCAATAGGCGTCTCCCCTAAAAAAGCGGCACGGAAAGTCCGTTTCGACCATTTGCTGTAGACACGAAAATCGCTGAGATCTTTTTTAAAGACCAAATCGTAGCCCCTGCACCATTGATTTCTCGATTCGCCTAAGTACCGGAAGAAAAAAAGCTTTCTTCTTGAGAACACTTTCTCGAGTTGTTCAATGTTATGAATGCTGGTGTTTAGAAGATCTGCTAACTCTACCCAAGAGAGCGACAACGAGTTGCAGTTCCACAATGTGTGAATGGCGAAAGGGATGCAACGATCTTGTAGAATATAATCGAAGCAGAGAAGCTCTCGAAAACTCGATAACGGTTCGGGTAAACGATTTTCCGGATCATCCACGATTTCGATATTTTCAAAATCAAATTGTTCTCCGGAGAAATGGTCAGGGGGGATGTCATAGTGAAATTTCACGGAAAAGTCTATTTCAAAGGATTGTATCTCTTTGACTAAAACCTCTTTTTCGTTTTTTTCAAAGAATCAAGTTTTAGAAGGCTTGTGAATTTCTCGCAAAGCTCTGCTCTCGCTTTGTTCACATCGTCTTTATTATGTTTGAAGCGAAGTCTTTCTCTTGTCAAATTCACGAATTGTGTCAACGATTGAGCTTTCGGTAGAAGTCCGTCGAGAAACAGTTGACTATTGTGGATGTTTTGTGTGGTTCCATCCTCGGAAATCGCTTCGAAATCACTTTGAGATGTGAATATCACTCCTGGGGCTGTAAAAGAATCATAGAAAAGGCCAAGCGGTTCGATTGGTTTGCTTAGATGGATTTGATGCCGCTTTCGCTCGGGTAGCACGATAGACTTTTTGAAAAGCTAAAGTTTTCATTTTCTTTTCCATTATTTGTCTTTACCTCTTCTAATGCTTTCATCTCAACTAAAACACTTTCAGCATTCTTTCGATCTTCAACGGGAATCGTCGGGCAAGAGCAACTAAAGGATAACAAAAAATTATGGGCTTACCCTTTTGGCAAAGTAGTTGTCAAAGGCCTGATTTCATTCAAAAGTAGCGGGTGGCTACCTTGCGCTAAATTTTTTGTCTTTTGAGTCAACTAGGTCTTTTGAGCCAATCTCTCTGATTTGATTGATTTTGTTACACTTGTTGAGATCTACAAAATGACACCAAAAGCATAAAGATGATCAATAAATTTCTTTCAATTTCCTTTTTGATCAATAAATTTCACCAAAGTCAGAGAGATTGGCTCACTGAGAGCAAAGAGCAATGCAGCAAAGATTCAGTGCTTCAATTCTCTGCAGGGTGTCCAAAAAAAAGTCACTTTGTTGAGTCACAAAAATTTAAGTGGCTCAAAGTGGTAGGTGCAAAAATGATTTTTTTGGAACCAGTTGAGTTAAGTCAAAGGTTGAGTTAAGACAAGAGTTGCCATAAAATTAAAACTTTCTACTGACATTGTGACGCATAATAAACACTATCAGGATCATGGCTTTGGCTTAAATGATGATAAGATTTGAGTTAAGCCAAGAGATAAACGCTTTGAGAGCTGTTCTTTGTTTACGAAGAAACCGATTCAACCAACCAGCGAATCAAGTCTTGCAACTTTTCGACGTCACCAGATTGAGTTGGTGTGAAAAGAAGAGAGTTAAAAGACGCTATCCTTTCCATCAGTTGAAAAATAGTCAAACCGGCAGCAAAGACATCACCTCGATAAAGATCCTAAAATGGTTTTGGTTCTCCTAAGTCAATTTTTAAAATATGATCTTCACCTCGATACTCAAGTCGTTTTTCTCTTTGAAATCCGGTGGCTGATAGAGGGCTGTGCCCGGGATACCATTGATTCGCTCGCTTTCCTGTGTGATTATTCCAAAATCGCCAAGCTTCAAGGTGAATTGCTCGTCGACGAAAATGCTAATGAAATTTTTGTTAGAGTCTTTTTAGAAAGTTTTGAAAAGCGAAGCAACTTTTGCGGTTTCACATCTCGATGAGCGATCTTTTTTGTCTTTATATAGATGAGAGCGGTGAAGATCTCGTTTGCCCATTTTACAATTGTGGCCACCGAATAGATGAGAGTCTTATCGCAGATCACTAAAATTTATCTAATCATCAAACAATCAATCAAAAATAATCAAAAAGAACTGAAATTTTTCCAACCATGCCGCAAATCTCCCTCCTCGCAATATTCCATAAAAATCGGGAAGAAACCCTCCTGGATGTTGTACTCGTAATCAGGTGGCGGATCCAAATAGCTAACGATATTGCCATGGGCAAGTTTCTTCAGGGCCTTCAACTCCTCCTGTGCATTCCATTGATTCAACTTCATCACATAGGGACTAAAATTATCAGGGTGGGAAAGAAAATAATGCGCGCTGCGAATTTCCCAGTGCTGACAATTTGCTAACTGTTTGCTGACGAGTTCTGAACAAAATAAACTAAACGCTCACTAGATTTATAATCGCTTCCCTTTCCAAAAGGATTGGAGGGAAAAGGATAACAACTTACGGTTTGTATTTCTTCAGCAAAAAGCAGTGCCCTTGTCCACCTTGGCCAATTTTCTCAACCATTGGATCATCAAGCATTTTAGATTCGAATATTTCAAAAAATCAAAAGAAACAGGGGAAATCAAGCAATTTTTGGGAAGCAATCAAGCCTTGATAAGAGTCGATGGGCCGTTTCCATGCATCAATTTGATTGCAAAACAAAAAACGCAGCAAATAAAATACCGAGCAACCTCACTGTTTCAAAAAAAAACGATAAAATTTTTTTATAAAAAATGCCAACCGTTTGGTAGGGATTTGTGAAAATGATGCCTAAATTCGAATTTTATATACAAAAGTACGCCCAAATACCGTTTGCCAAATAATTTACTTTAAAAGGCACTTTTACATCCGTTATATCAAAAGAGCAATCATGAAAAAAGCACCAAAACTGAAGCCGGCACACAAAGAAAAAAAGGATGTCTTGGGCTCGGGATCACATCACCATCGATTGAAAAAAAAAGTAAACTTTTTGCCTTGAGTTGTTAACGATTTTTTTCTTTGTAGGTCATCTTGAGTGATAAGAAAAAATTTAATTTGGATGGTCCCAACAGCAAAAAGTACAATTGGCAGAATTTTGAGAAGAGATCCAATGCTTTGTGGGCGTCGAAACTTCGGAGGAGGATCACTGATGATATGGGGCGCTTTCAATGTGGATGACGTTCTTGATTTAGAATTTGTGACTTGTCGCATGAACTCGAACGATTACCAGGATGTCCTTGCGGATCAACTACTTCCTTTCCTAGCACAAAATCGAGGGAAACACTATATTTTTCAACAGGATAATGCTTCAATTCATGTCAGCTAATCCACTAAAGCTTTTCTGGAACGTCACAACATCGATTTTCTCGAATGACCTGCCTGCTCACCGGACTTAAACCCAATGGAAAACTTATGGGGCATCCCTGTGAGGAATATTTATGCTAAGGGAAAGACTTACGACACGATTTCGCAACTCAAAAAAGCAATTTTGCAAGCTTGGACGTCAATTCCACCACAAACGCTTCAAAACTTAGTGAACTCGATGAAAAGTCGACAACTCGACGTCATCGAGAAAAAGGGAGCATCTATTGATTATTAATGAACTTTTCATTCGTTTCATTCATTATTTTATTGTTTATTCTCAAAATCGCTATTTTTTATGTGGTTCTACAATTTCGCAACAGGTGTTACATAAAGAAAATGCTATAATTTTGTTGCAATTTGTTCAGATAATGTTAAAAATGGTATAGATGCCTATTTTTGTATATATTTCTAGGATTTAAAAGCTATTCCGCGTTATTAAATTTCATAGCCAAAAAATGTAAAATTTAGGGGTAGTCCTATCATTTTGCAACACACCTTAGAAAATCCCACCCGTTCGTAGGGATTTTTCATTTTTAATTAGAATAATACATGTACACTTTATTTACAAAAACTAATTTGAAGTTAACAAAAAAACACCTTATTTACAAAAAACAAAAAAGTAAATGACAAAACTACTAAAAAATACCCTAAGAACTGGGTGCAAAAGTCTTGCAACATTCTATGTTTCTCATTTTTACACTTTATTGATCAGCGTTTCCTTGGAAAAACGGGACACTTCTTTAAAAAAGGCGAGCTGAAAATCTCTTATGTGCGACAGATTATCATATAATGTAGATGAATAGAGTTTTTGGCTAAAAATCTTAGTTTATATATTATCTCTAATATGATATCATGCGACAGTATAAAGTTATTTTATGGCAAAAATCTCATGGTGGTGGCCCATATGGGGGAGCTGATCAAAACAACGCCGTTTACAAACAGAAGATTGTTCCTTGATTTACTAAATGTAGCAAATTTAAGCTAATATTCTTCAAAAGACGCACCTCAAGTAATATCGTGGTAGTGTTGAGCACGAAGACCTGCTTCTAATCCACCTGCAGCCGTCAGAGCGTCGAGACCCGCAAATTCTATGTAGACATCGAGCTCACCCAATCTTTTCCAATTGTTTCGAACATGTTTCTAAAATAATCTAATCAAATTGATCTATTATAAGCAACGTTCAAACCTCTAACTGAACTTCTGGAATGAACACTTGGCAATAGGGCTTTCCACCGATGGATTTAATTGGAGGGTTTCGTCGCGGCAGACAACAGAATCGTGGATTCTGCTGACAATGACGAAAACGGTAGGCTACACCGCCGTAAGCGAATTCGAAGTGACTCACCGTCACATGGAATGGTGAATTCACTCGAAAGAAACAGATTCGTGGTGCCATGTTGATACGCCTAAAAGTGAAATGAAAGTAAAACAATTAATAATAACATAATTAAACCAAGATAATGTCCGGTTTGATTCATAACCGTAGGATCCGCCATTTATCAACGGATTGATAGGCCATATAACAAAAGAAAATCATTTATTGGATAGAACGACAAAAATTTTAACAGAAGCTTGATCCTGTCGAATCAGTAATTGTTTTCATGGTCTCGGGCAGCTTATCCTGAAAAAAAATCAATGAAGCTTGAAGTCTGAAAATCAAAAGCTAGACACAATTATTATATTTTGACCATCAAAGACTGAGGAAAATGAATCTTTATATGATCAATGCTAATGACTCCCCTTAGAGGCTCCATCCTACATAGCTTATGAGTGATTATTGCAAATAGATTTAACCAATCCGAGCTATTTCTTAAAACATTAAACCGAACCTCGTGAGACATCCACGTATCCCTGGGCTTCCAAACCGCGCGCCAAATCACCACCAGCTTGCATGCAACCAGCCCCACCGAATTCAATGTAAACATCCATTATGTCCACATTGTGCCAGACCTTCTGGGGATCTTCTTTCTAAAAATAATCCAATCAATCAACTTATAAGAGAAATTTCCTACCTTTAACATTACTCCCGTAATTAGCATATGAGCAGATGAACCAGTCGGTACAGAATTCAATCCGCGTTGGGTGGTAAATTGACGAGGTAGCTGTTGGTTTCGACGCCGCCGCGGAGGATTCACGTTGCCGTGAATGAAGCGATACTTCTCACCGTCATAGGTCAGTTCAAAATGGTTGGCATTGACCGTGAAACCCGCAGCAACATCATGAAACATGATTTTGGGTCCCATTCCGATGAGACTAAAAGAAAAATGTAAAATCGGCGAATACGATAACTAATCAAGATTTATATATAGATGTAAGAGCTATTATAAGTATTCTGATTTCCGAAAACTATTAGCGAAAATAAAAACGAATACCGTATTTATTCTAATAACCGCCGCACTAAACTGATGAAGCCCCGCTCACCCACCTGAGAGACAAAAAGTTGCACCAAATTGCGGGTTTTTACCTAAAAGTCCTGAAACTTTGTCAGAATGTGCACATTCCATAGGCGCATCTGTAAAAAACAAACCAAATTCGATTTGCTTCATTCATTGCTAAGGAAGTTTTTGAGTTTTCTCAGCAACAAATAAAGCAAATCGAATTTGGTTTGTTTTTTACAGATGCGCCTATGGAATGTGCACATTCTGACAAAGTTTCAGGACTTTTAGGTAAAAACCCGCAATTCAAAAAAGGTCACGAAGAATGTTGACTGATGAAGAAAGTCTTTGAAACGATTGAAAATTTTCGGCTTTTATCAGCTAGTTTTTCAAATGTAAATGAGCTATCCTTTAATGCAAATACAACCAACATATTGAGATCCATCTCATCGCTTTCTTCATCCCCATCACTCGAGAATTCCTCGTCTTCGGAAGTGATTTTCGGATTTGGGCGCACCTAAACAAGCAATTTCGACTTGTTTCTCGGGTATGCGTAGACGGACTACACGATCAAGGTAATAGAAACCTGTTTATAGCCTCCCATGTTTTTGAGGTTTGAGGCCATCTCTCCTAGCTGTGCCACATCTTCAAAATCGACGGATAAATTGACCAGGAGAGCGTCCTGCCAAACTTCAGTCGTGTCCACAGTCTTAAAAAGAATCCATTTTGAATGTAAAACTTAAAATACCTGCAACATCATGTCAGAAATCGTGATCTGACACCTGGGAAATGATTGCACCCAGTAATTCCGATTGTTCGATTTGAGCGGATAGTTGAAACGAAAATGTTTCTTTAGATAGACTATCTCCAAATATTCAGGTGTCAGCTCAAAAGAATCTAGATCCTTGAAGAACAGAAGTTCCGGTAGCATTTCGAGAGATCTGAATAAGATCAGTTAATTGATCAATATCTACAAATTCAAAAATGCCAGAAAGAAATAGTAAAAAAAGCTAGCCAAAAATATGTGAGAAAGTCAAATTCAACCCATAATTAAACCAAGATAATGTCCGGTTTGATTCATAACCGTAGGATCCGCCATTTATCAATTATTGTATATTTTTGTTTAACAGGCTATTGGAAGTAAGGAGGGAGGCTTCGGGGTTTCTGCCCCGAAATGGGCGGTATGGTAGTCATTTTCTAGGCTTAGTTCATTTAGAAAACTTAGAAAATGAACATTTCTGAAATTTAGTAGAGCCATTTTCGGGGATGGGACAAATGCGACCTTTTTTTTGCGCGCCTGATTGCGCCCTTTTTGCTGGAAAAGGCCTTGGGCAATCAGACCTCGCTGACCGTCAATTTGGTTAAAGGCAAAAACTCGCAACTTAACGCTTTTCCGCAGTTTTTGCCTTTTAGCCCAAATTTGACGTGTCAGCGAGGTCTGATTTGTCGAAATTCGGAATCTACGCATCGATTCCCTTTTATGGGAATATTTTCGAAGCTCTACGACCTTGCCTAAGGCCTTTTCCAGCAAAAAAAGGTCGCATTTGTCCCACCACCATTTTTTCGAGCTTATAAGCTGTCTTTTCCTGAAAAGTTCATCTATTTTTTTTAACTTTACCTTTACGAAAAGAAATTTACCAGTCTCACCACGTAACTTTTCTAAAATTCTCTCTGGTGGGAGCCAGATTTCTTCAAAACTTCTTGTAACGTCGTTTCTTTCTTTCATAAAATCTGTTTTTGTTTTATAATTCTGTCTCTTTTAACGTTTCGTTTTAGAAAATGTCGGAGAATGGGAAGAAGCACTCGATTTCCCGTGAATCTCTCCTCAAAATGTTCTCTGGATCGACAGTGCTCGACTCAATCAGCCCGAAAGCCGCTTCTAAGGATCCTATAGCTGAAAAGGAAAATAACGGTGTGTAATCTTTATGCTAATTTTTAAAGGTTCTGTGAGTGTGAAGTTCAGTCTCTACTTATATAGAGGTTTTGATAGAAGCCATGAAATCTTTAAAAGGCTTTGAATCACTTTATTTTTAGTACCCATCGGATATCAGCAAACGAACAAAATTATGATGCAGCAAATTCGACAATTGAAGCTCGATGTGGCAAACGGCAAAAGACAAATCGAGGATCTGCGAAAGGAAAACTTCCGACTAAGGTTTTAAACAAATTTTATTAATAAATTTAATTATTTAGCGAATGTCTCCACGCGCTCGAAGCGGCAACCGAGAATGAACGTGTGGAGATGATTTTGAACGAAAGATTAAAGGTTTTCTTTTGAAAATTTTACTTTTAGAAGAGGCTATGCATTTTGTTTTATAATTACATTTTGATCTTTTAGAAAAAACTTGGCCAGTTGGCTCAAATCTCTAAACGTTGCATCGAGACGATGGAAAAGCACAAAGAGGACTTTACAATTGTTTTGAGCGATATTGGGTAAGGTTTTCTAGATTATGCTTTAATGAGATAAAGAATTTAGCAGAATTAGGCATTTGTGAATTTAGTGAGTTAATTAGCAATTTACGGTTACTTAAGAATCTTTTGAGAGAGTGATAAGATGATACGGTCTTGATATATTTTAGGATATGGAAGAGCCATTTGATCCGGACGCCACTCCGAAAGCCGAACAACCACCGTCATCAACAGCGAAGTCAATAAAGAAATTAGCGCCTGAAACTCTTAAAGGTGCTTTTTTAAAGGGTAAAAGGTCTTAAGATAAATTTAGTTGTGCCACGTTCAGTAAAGCGAAAAGCTGCAGTCGAATTGGAGACGCCAAGGTTGGCGGCTGGAAGCGTGGGTTTCATTTTTGAACTACGCATATCATGTAAAGTGCCCGATTTTCATTAGAATACTATTGGATTTAAAAAATTAATGTTTATTTAGACAAATGAGCAATTGTTACCACCAGAGACCCCACTCGACTTCCCGAATCCATTCATTGAGACGGATACAGTGAGAAGACTACGTCAGGCAACCCTTCGAGTAAATCACTTTCATTTTCTGACTTGATAACTTTTATTCCTAGGTTCTCACATATGCTCTTCCCGCTTTGAATACGAAAATGAGACGACCTGGTAAATCGGATGAACCGAACCCTTATCCGAAAGCGGCGAAGCGGCAAATGAACCGAATCTCGTGAGTGCTTTATCGGTTTTGTGTAACTTTTTAAATTCGTCGTCTCTTGATTCTTGTGTTTTTATGTTATTCTGCTTTCTAGTGTTTTGGGAGAAAACATTTATTTATTTGCGCTAAATAAGAACAATAAATTTGTGTCTAATTTCTTTTTAGTTTTGATCAATTCGCACTGATACTCGGAATTGTGGAAAATTACGAAAACATCAAAGTACACGGAAGCTAGCAAAAACCACGCTGTGTTGCGAAAAAAAATTTTTTTTCCCCCCCCCCCCCCCCCCCCCCCCGGGGTTTTTTTTTTCCTCTTTTTTGTTTTTCCCCTTTTTTCCCCCCCCTCCTCCCCCTCCCCTCCCCCCCCCCCCCCCCCCCCCAACCCCCCTCTTTTTTTACCCCCCCCCCCTCTCCCCTTTCTTTCCCGCCCTTTCCTTCTTTCCCCATTTTTTTTTTTTTTTTTTTTTTTTGGGGCCGCGCCCCCCCCCCGGGAGGCCGTTTTTGTGAAAAAAAAAGATTTCGCGCCTTTTTTGCTAACTTCTTTCTTTTAACTCACTTGATAAAGCTTGGCAGCGCTTTGAAAACGCGAAGAAAGCTTTGAAAAGCTAATTTTGTCCAAGTTTTAAATATTCAAAAATGATTGGGATTTCCATTCCGTAAAGTTGTCTTTTTGTATCGAAAATTCGCTTTTAAAGAAGTGTTTCGACTGTGATTGCCTTGAGTTCTCTTTGATCAAAACTTTTCTAGTAAATAAGTTCAACTTAAGGAATCTTTTCCGAGAATGACTCGGAAATAGAGTAGCTAAACGGAGATTAAGGCTTACTCGCAAAAGTTTCAGTAATTCGTCGATATCCGTGCGATGAATGATGAGTTCTTTCAGAAATAGGATAATTTTGTTAATTTTTTTTACCATTACCATCTTCAGGTAGAAAAGTAGGAAAATGGAATAATTTGTTCAGATTCGACTGATTGCACACATGCTTGCCTTAATTGTCTTGCTACGAGGGAGGGTTTTCCAGTTTTAAACTTTGACGACTTTTGGAACCATTAAGATTTGATGTTTTAAACTAGAACTTTGGCCACATTAACTAAAAGGGCCAAAATTCTGTGCTGAAGTGAATTATCCTTGCAGTACCATTTTGTTTTCTATGTTTGATAAAATATTTAATGTTTAACGTCAACTTCATATTAAAACAATCAAATCAAAAAAAGCTTTCGAGAGATCATCGTTGTAGAGGGGCCAATCCGAGTTGCTTGCGTTGAGCGTTCGCCTCATCGACTTCGCTCCAATGAGCCAATTTCCCACGATCCTTTTCACGTCCACGCTCTCGATCTTTATCACGGCGATCTAAATAAAAAAATTGTTAGAGGTTCGCTCAAAAAATGTCGATCATATGTCAGATGGAAACAAATTTTTAAAGATCAGACACCAAGTCTTCAATTTTTGGCTAGAAACTCGCGCCCACCTTTATCATCACGTTCACGACTCTTCGAGCGCCTTCGACGATCACGGTCTCGTTCACGAGATCTAAAGTAACAACTGCTTTGACGACCAAAACGGATACAAAATTAGCAAAAACAAATAACAAAAGACAATACAAACCTATCTCTTTCTTTCTTATCACGATTATTTCGATCGTCGCGATCACGCGATCATTTGAATGAGCTCATGGAAAATACTATAAATAATAGGCTTAGCTTCGTTGTGACTTACTTTACTTTTAGTCTTTGTCAAAATCTACCTGCTTCTTTTTCGGCTAATCAAACTTGGCCTCTCCTCCTTGCGCGTGGCCTTATCATCATCGTCTGATTCAGACTCGGAGACCTAAAAGCTCCCTAGATTAATGAAAAAGTCAGCAGAAAACCTTTCTAAGATCCTCGTCAAGAGGCGATTTGTGCTCCTCGATGGCCGCTATTTCTTCAAGAGCGATTCGTTTCTAAAAACGATTTGATCCATAAAATAGCCAGAAGCTACCTGTAAGCGTGGCATTTGGATGTCGAACACGCGCTCTTCTCGCAATAGCATATCAATGAAGTCGTTCATAACATCAATTCGAATCCTAGTAAGAGAGTGTTAATTTAACAATGAAGTTTTAAAAACTTACTGCACATATGATTCATCACCCGAAGCTTTCGAAAGTCACTATACAATGGCTCCAAATAATTGTAGATGTCAAGCGACGGGAAGACCATTCGCAAGTATAGAGCACCCAAAGCTCGAATGTATCTAAAAAACAACTTTAGAGATGGTGCCATCACTTTTTAAACCTAATCCTTTTTTCAAAAACTTAAACAAAAACAAAAAAACTTACTTAAACTCGTCCTGTTTTATGAACTCCATTACAATCTCCCATTTTGGCTGAAGCTGAAGCATTTTGAGCACCAAACAGAGAAATGGAGTCGGCTTGATGTTTCCCGCGTAGATTCCGCCAAGGTACCGTAGCTCCATTCCTTTGTCGACGAGAAGTTCGGCTAAGGTAGAGAAAAATTGCTAGCAATCTATAATACGATCTAGCAAATTGTTATGAATGAAATATGCATAAACTTTTACCTGATAAGGCAAAGCATTCTTCTTTCCAGAACTTGCTGTCGTAGATACGTTGACGAATGATCTTCTCGATCAAAAATTGCGGATTGGTTCCTTTTACTGTAGAGGCATCTTTCACTGTCCTGTTCGCCGTTCTGAAAAAAGTGATGAAAGAGATTCGATAAAGTTTACGCTAGAACAAAAACGGTAGACGAACCATTGAATAGGAAAACAAATCTTCTCATTTACTTTTCTAGTATTTCATATCGAATATCGATAAACAGATAACTTGGCTTTCGACCATATAATAGATAACATTTATTCAATATCAGTTAAGAAACATGAATCAATAAGATAACCAAAAAATGGGTTCTTTTCCAATATCGGGCGAGCGGAAGGAAAATCGGGGGAGCAAATTTTGCCCCCTCGAAAAATGCATTTATTTTAACTGTATTTTAACTGCAACGTTTTTTTTAAACTTTAACGACGATGCGCTTCTCCGATATTGGTGCGTTCAAGGAATCGACGGCAATCGATTATTTCATCACCAAAGGAGTCATCCAGTCATCGGGAGAGCAAATTTTGGCAGCGCTACATATGTCCTATATTATACAAACTACCGCCATAAAATCGGCGAATTACCCGTTATTCTCACAACCTTTATATTAGATCACAAAAGTGACTTAAATACCTAACACCAAACCTACCTCTACCTTCCCTATCGGTCGCCTTCTCTTTTTGCCGAACGCTCCACAAACCCGAACGAACAAATAGCTACCTAAAAAATTATTCATTAATAGTATAATTGAACATAACAACGAAAGAAATGTAAACGAAGTAACCAAAACAAAACCTTTCTAGCAATCACAAATTAACTGTAAAAAGGGATTGTATTCATTTCCGCGGTACTTGTGGAGTATCCGGGGGGGTCTTTCAATATCCGGGGGGTAAAATTTTAAGATCCGGGGGGGTAAAATTTTAAGATCCGGGGGGGTAAAATTTTAAGATCCGGGGTAAACTTTCAAAAACCAACCAAATGCCCATGTTTTTCTTGTTAATAGAACTTTGCCAGGCTTCGATCCTCTTGGCTTTGCCGCTGTTTGCGTGTGGTAACTAAATTTTATAACTATAAAATAAAAGCAACGAATAAACAAGATGCACGAGTAATGCAAGAACATAAACATAAACCAAACATAATAATTAAATAAATTTGTGAAGTACAACAGTGACTATTTGTAACAGTGACAATGAATACTACTTGTAAAAATCTATGGAATTTACTTCTAGGCCAGGAGGCCAAAAATGAGCAATATCCTTGAGAATTTGCTCAAATGCGTCCGCGCCTTTGGGCAAACTAAGGCGCCAGAGTCCTTCAGCAATCCATGACTCAATCATGTGTTCGTGGGTTCCATGACGAAATCGATTGCTATCTTTGAAAGGTCGCCAGAAGCGTTCTATTGTTTGCGTATGGATAGTCGCATCTTTCGGATCCAAAAAATTTACGCTATGATTTACCCATCCCCAAGTGTATTGTTTGTCGTTCGCCAAAGGGCGGTATGCTTTCCATCCATCGGAAAGAATATGAGAACCTGACGCAATAAAGCGATGAATTTCTCTAATGAGAGTCTCCGAGGATCGATCAGGCACAATGACGGCAAAATATGATTTCGTTTCACGACATATGCCGCCAAATACCCACTTTTCTGGCACAATTCTCCCTTTGTGGTTTTTCCTCTTTGCAATTAGCGTCTCATCAATTCCAACCGTGAGTCCGGGGCCCCCGATTTGTCCTTGCTGCTTTCTTGATACAATCCAAGCGCATACTTGGCGCATATACTTGTTCCAATCCACCGTTGTGTTATTGGCCCATCCCAGTTCGTCTTTTAGAAAATCAATCGAGTGATGTCCAGAGCTCCAAATCGACATATATTTGACCAGTTCATGGAATGGGCGGTGTGAAAGAGAAAAGAAATTGTTTACTCTCATGCCCTTTATTGCTCCATTTCCTTTGGCTCGTTCACGAATACACTTGTCACACTCCCAACGATAAACATTCTTCTGCTTACTGCGAATCTTCATTTTACGACCACATCCACATGCTGGTGCTGCAAGGATTCCTGCTTGAACAAAAATATAAATCGCATCACGCTCGGAAAACGCGCTCACCTCAGAATATCGCATTCTGAAAAAAAACTTTTGATAGTATCCTAGTTGGGGGACCACTTTTTTCTTCAAAACCACATGTGGGTTAGGCATCTGCCGGACCCACATCAACACATAAAACTACCTCAAAAAATGGTTTTGAAGAAAAAAATGACCCGCCAACTAGGATATTATCAACATTTCTAATAATAACATAAAAAAAATTTGTAGAAGTTACGTTTTTGATCGAGTATCACCTCGAATCACGTAATCAAGTAATCACCTCAATAAATTGAATATCTTTACATTTGAAGCGAATTTGCCACCAAATCACTTAAGCGGCTGAATATCTTTAAAAGGGGTCGTGTATAACGTATATAAAATTTTACCCCCCCGGATCTTAAAATTTTACCCCCCCGGATATTGAAAGACCCCCCCGGATACTCCACAAGTACCATTTCCGCCCCTGCGAGCCAAAAATCGACGATGTCCTTCATGATCGACTCGAATGCATTCACTCCGGCAGGCAAATTGCGATGCCACGATCCCTCAGCGATGTACGAATCCACCATGGTGCCGTGGGTGCCGTGTCGACGTCTGTTCATGTATTTAAACGGTTTCCACATTCACTCGATTGTTTGCGTGTGCACGGTCGGATCTGCCGGCAAAACAAAATTTGTCGAGTGGTTGACCCATGCAAAATCGTAATTTGGGTCAGTAAGAAGCCCTTGGTATGCACGCCATCCATCAGAGATGATTCGAGTCCCCTTTTCGATATGTTTTCGAATCGCTTCAAGTAGAACCGGAGCCGTTCGGTTCGGCACAATAAAAGCGAAGCATTCCCTTGTTTCACGACACAGAGCACCAAAAAGCCAACGTTCTGGCAGCATCCTACCAGCGCATTTGTACTGTTTTTGGAGAAGCTGCTCTTACTTATAAACAATGTTGTGTTTGGTACGATCGCTTCAAAACGGGAAACGAGTCATTGGAAGATGCACCACATGGAAAGCCACCGATTACTTTGGACGATCAGCTGTTACAGAACGAGCTCGACTTGGCTCCATCGCACTTTTCAGGCCGCCCAATCCCGGTGAGCCCATTGCCTCCACTTATCACCAATAAAAACCGCACCAATCACCTTCCAACAGTCACTCTTTCCATTCATTTATGTCTGATCTTTTTGTGTCCGATGATTCTTCCCGAATCTCGATTTTCTGATGATTCTCGTCCCATCCGTCCATGTCATTGTCCTCAATTTCCGATAGATCGTCCACCAATGGTTCTTTAAACCTAACAACCACGAGCAGAAGTAAATTTCTATCAAAATAGAAATCGATTACATCTTATGAATGTACAAAAACTCTTATGAATGTACATCTTATGAATGTACAAAAACTGCATTTTGAATCGAGTTTTTCGTTGTTTTAAGACGTTTTTGTGATATTTGATGTCAAAAATTGTTTTTTTAAATCTTCCACACTTGTTTTTTACCTTATCTGAATCAATACATTAAAATTCAACAGTTCTTTCTATAAAAAAAGCACAGACAGAAGAAAGACTCTTTTCCATGATTTAATGAGGCTTTAATCAAGAAAATCTTTAAAATAATGTGTCTGTGCCTACGCATGGAGGCTGAGCCTGAGCCTGAGCCTAAGCACTAGGCCGTTTAGGCACAGACGTATCATTCTAAAGATTTTCTTGATTAAAGTCTCAGTAAATCATGGAAAAGAGGTCTCTTTATACATCACTTTGCAAAAAAACAAAACTCTTTCAATAACACTTCATGTAAAAACTTTCTTTTTGTTCCAAAACTTCTCAAAGCTTTCTTTCATCGTTCGGCGATACTTTTCTCGTTGTTTATCACTTGCATCCTCGTCCGAGCCTGACAAAAAGATTTGAATTACAATTACAATATAATTTTGAATTACGATAGAGATAAACTATCTATTCTAAAACAGAATTCATTTAAAATTAATGGGTGAAGGAGAATGTAATGGCGTCGAACTTTAAAGAGACTTTTTGCCTAGCATTCTTTAAATACAGGTCTTTTTTCGTTCTTGCTTGTTGCCCTGTTATGTGGCCTATCATCAAAAGATTCACTGAGGCGCTGTTTGAGTTCACTTTTAAATGCCATTTTCTAGAGAATTGGTTAACCTTTCTACTGATGTCAAACGCGTATCGCGTAACGCGTGGAGGGCACAAAGTGGAGCACAGAGTGGAGCACAAAGTGGGCCAAGAAGTGGGCCACACATGTGGCCACAGTGGGGCACAATGTGGAGCAGAAAGAACAGCACTTTGTATATAAATTATATAATATATAA